TATAAGCCTTTAACTAGACGCGTTCTTATAAGCCTTTAACTAGACGCGTTCTTATAAGCCTTTAACTAGACGCGTTCTTATAAGCCTCAATTAGGTGATAGGTAAAAAAGGAAGAAGAAAATATCGAATAAATCCTCAAGAATCCGGACTCGCCTTAACCCAATCGCTTCCTTGCATACTAACAACCTTCCCTCCCCACCTCCTCTCCCCTCCCTCCACCTCAAGGCTTTCGTTACGGAACCACCACTCCCTTCACCCCCCACCTCCTCCAATGGCCAATCAAGCCCCAGAGATGGTGGTTTGCATACTAATGATCGTTAGGTGATTGTTGCAGCCTGGGTCGAGGGGAAACTGATGACGAGGAACTAGGTTAAGGAAATAAGAGCTGTGTTGTGCCGCTGGGTGAGAGTCCATTCCGTTTTAATTTCTGATTTTTTTTTGTGTGTTGCTTTATCTTCTCATCTCTCTCTCTCTCTCTCTCTCTCTCTCTCTCTCTCTCTCTCTCTCTCTCACGCCTCTACACCACGCCAGATGAGGTTACTTCCACACCTTGACCCCAATTATAATATACTCAGGGGTTGTGTTGTGGTATTAAATACAAGTCCTTGGGATTCTTCATTTGATAAGGTATTTATTTTTTGTCGTAACGGAACCGCCTTCGAGAATACGATATTATTATTGAGTCGACCTGCAATGAGAGATAGATACATAGATAGATAGATATATACATAGATAGAAAAGAAGAAATAGAAAGAGAAAGATAGAGAGGGACTACGTAGTGTTAAATTTTCTCAACTGATACCGCTCTACTTCTGTTTATGAGGTTCCGATATCGTATGGATGGTCTTGTCCCTCCTTTCTTTCCATCCTCCCTCCATCTATCCACTGACTTCATCTACTCCTTCTCTACCTCCTTCTTCCTTCCCTTTCTCCCTCCATCCACTGACCTCAGCTGCTGCGTCTCTTCAGCTTTATCTATTCACCGTTATTCTCACGTGTTTACTTCCTGTGTGTGTGTGTGTGTGTGTGTGTGTGTGTGTGTGTGGCAGATTTATACGTATCTGTGTAATTTTGATCTTTAACTTTATTGTGTATATGTATAATGTGTAATCTATATGTATATCATCACCAATGCTATGTATAATCCTCTGTTGTTACATAAAGGCCCCCACGGTATATACATGTAAATTTTTTAATAAATAAATCTCAAAAAATTACGATCGTGTCATTTAACGAGACATGATATAAGGCACAGTTATTATATAAACATCACAAGGGAAGACTAAAGTGACTTCCCCAGACTTCGGTTCATAGATGGCGTTATTAGAGCTTCTGTCCAGATCAAAACAGATGTTGGTTTACGAATAAAACACTTAACCTCTTTTCTCGCCACAATCGTCTGTCTTGGTCTCATCAGGACAGCTGAGCCTCAACAAACAAGTCACCAGTTTCGTTTCGTGTATCTGGAAGTTGTTTTAGGATTTTTTCCCTTCGGTCTCTGTCTTGAAGGATTTATTGACAAATCTTCTTAAATCTATTGGACTAACCCTATTTTGGTGTGCAGCTGGGGAAAACTGTGTTGTGGTGTGGTGTGCAGGTCCTTACTTTTACTACTATTAATGTTAACAGTATCATCACAAGACCCTGAACTATCATGTCCCTAACAAGTCATTAAACACGATGCTTATATTAGCCAAAAAATAACTCCTGATCAGAGAAAAACCTGGCAATAAGCGGGTCCCTTCACCTAACACGTACACACAGACAGACACTCACTCACTCACCATTAAAACTAATCTCTTTTCTCTTCATATCAAGACTGAATGGTAAAAGTTTCAGCTTGAGGTTCAGGAGGTGAGGTGACGACACATTGTTTCGTGTAATGTTATCTGTGTGTGTGTTATTAGTGCCGGGGCTAGTGGCTGTGCACTGTATATGGGTATGATGATGATGATGATGATGATGATGATGGTGATGATGATGATGATGGTGATGGTGATGATGATGATGATGATGATGGTGATGATGATGATGATGATGATGATGATGGTGATGATGATGATGATGATGGTGATGATGATGATGATGATGATGATGGTGGTGATGATGATGAGGTGGAGGAGGATTATCGTCGTTTTTTATTATTATATTTATTGTTATTATTATTATTCTATTATAAAGTTGGGCAGCTTAAGTCGTTCTTCTCCACGATATATAGAAGGCTTAAATCCGTGTACACAACAATTAACTCAACATTCTATCCCTAACTTAACATACAGGTGTGCATGACGGTACCAATATACCTGGTTATTACGGGGTACAGGTTAATGATGCAATGTCCGCTCTATCAAGGTAAAGGGTGTGGAGGGAGGGGGGGAGGAGGTGAAGGGGGTTATTTTCCAAATTAGAGATGGAAAGGAAATTGGGCTGTTTATTTAATTTAAAGGATATGGGTGAGGGGGGGGGGATGTTTTCGTTCTTACTTTATAATTAAGCCACCTCACAGGTATGCGTACACACACACACACACCAATAAAACCCCACAAGTCGACCCAACACCGCTGCACGCCCGCCGCCCCACACCTTTCACCGAGTGTCTACTGCCGCAATACCACGAGACAACACCGACTCCCACCTCCTGATGAACTTTCCCCATGCACGTAGCCGCACCCCTCCTCCACCCCCATCCCTCTCTCACCATCCCCTCCCACCCCCACTCCACATCCTCCCCAACCCTCTCTCACCCATCCTTCACCCTCCCCACTCTCCTCCTCCCTCTCATCCCTCTCTCACCCATCCTTCCCCCTCCCACCTCTTCCACTCCTACTTCCTCATGTTAGCTCTCCTTCCTCTCTCTACTTCTCCTCCTTAAGCCCTTCCTCCATTTACACCTTCCTTTCTTCCCTCACATCACACTTCCCTTTCCTCCCCCCCCATCCACCATCCCTATATCTCTCCCTCCGTCCATCACTCTTTCCCCTCCCTCTACTAGACCTCACAATAGCCCAGCATATTTCAGGGGATAAAGAAACCCCCTCCCCCATTGCTTCACCCGTCAACATCCTCCTTGTTTATAGCGTTTCAGAAGCTCACGAATCTGTTGAGTCGACGTGAAATTGAGAGGCATTGTTCCAACATTATTCCCCCCCCCCATCACGTATCTTTTCTTTTACGCTCTTGTACTATGAATGTTATTGTTGTTTAAGGGTCATGGGAGTATCGGGAGGCAATTGGAGGTTGAACAATGCGTCAATGTAAGTGTCTTTTTATTTCTAGTTATAAATATTTACAAAGGAGTTTATTATAATTTTCTCTCAATTTTTTTCCCGCCAAGTCCCACGTTCCAATATTTACCTCAGACTTAATCACTTCTTTATAACCTGTACAAACATAAACACGTTAGCCTTTATTTTACTATCATTTAACCTGATTTCATTAGTCATTTCTTAAGCTTAAATCAAATAAATAAAGAAATATATTGTACCATTGAAAGAAAAGTTTTACTGGAAATAATTCGGAGTTATAAAGAATAGATTTAGATGAAATCAGTTTTACGTAATCCGTAAATATGACAAAAGCGACGATTGTGTCCTGTTGAGGGAATACAGCTGATAATTATGTGTAAGTATTATAGATTATAGCTCCATGTGAACAGTGTAGACTTAGGTGTATGTACTGACTTTTAGTAGGGGGATATGCTCTCTCTCTCTCTCTCTCTCTCTCTCTCTCTCTCTCTCTCTCTCCACGACCCCACACCTGTCTGTCTTCAAGAAGGTCAGGTGTGAGTAAGACCAGTTTCTCGGGAAGTTGTGTTAGCGCAAGAGTTCCCATAACCCGCGCCTCCTAGATGGTGTAATCCACGCCCCCACGCCTCCCACCCGCGCCTCCTAGATAGTAGAAGCACCGCGCGGGCCACCCATGCCTGGAAGATGGACTAACCCCATAGCCACCACCCACGCCGTTCTACTCCCCACGCCAGGCAGATGTTGTAACCCCCCCACGCCCATCCATACCACCACGACCGTTGTTGAGCCATAAGCCACGCCTACACCATCATTATTCAGCCATTCCCACGCCTCCCTTTCAACACTTCACCCCACGCCCACAACACTCTCCACACACGCCTCTTCTGCACGCACACGTCCACACCCATACCCACGTCTCCACCCACTGTAACACGGCTGACTCTCACGTCTCCACACCCACTGTAACACGGCCGACTCTCACGTCTCCACACCCACTGTAACACGGCTGACCACGTCTCCACACCCACTGTAACACGTGGGCCTCCTCACGTCTCCACACCCACTGTAACACGGCTGACCTCACGTTCCACACCCACTGTACCGGCCGACCTCCTCACGTCTCCACACCCACAACCTCTCACGTCTCCACACTACCATCACTACCCCCCCCTCCTTCCGTACCCAGTACATGGATATTTATATTCTCACACACTCTACACACACTCGAGGGTGAGTGACCCCCCAGAGTAGCGGAGGTAGCATGAAAAAGTGTATAGGAGTGCAGAGAGAGAGAGACACTTTAGTGCTACGTGAGTGTAATGATTGACTTAAGGACTTCTGGTAAGGGCGGGCGTCATCAGATGAGTTTGTTTACACTTAGCATACCTGAGTTAGTCCCCTCTCTCCCTCCTCATCCCTGATCGTCAGCTGATTGGTAGACGCTTCCAAGAACACACAGAGAGAAAGCTTTGTTGCGCAAATAGAAAGCCCACTGTGGATGCTTCTTAATAGCTCTCGGAGAAAATTTTTGATAATCTGGGAGGTAGACGAACATTTATCCAGCTGAAAGATCACAGGTTATAACCAGTTAAGAGAAGCGCGCATGCTGGTCAGGTAGGGCAGCGGGGGAAAGGGAGTCGGTGGTCTCAGCGGGTGGGTGGGCCCGAGACACTCCACTGACTCCGCTTCCCCCAGTTCAGTACACGAGGTCCATTCATTCCAGGTTCCCATTGAAAAATTCAGTAGACTGTTGGTGCTCGCGAGAGAAGGTTACGCCGCGCGGGCCTCCTGGAACCACTTGACTTGTGCGTGTTTCTGTGGATTGTTTTGAATTTTGTGAGAAGGCGAAAGGCTGTGAATGTTGATCAGTGGGAGAGAGTGTGTGGTGCCCACCGTGTGTACTGACACTGTATAAACACAGACGGTGGAGAAAATAAACCAAAAATGGTGACTTTGTTGTTACTACTATTTTCGGCAACTTATGGTAAGTAATAATATGTATATTTTTTTATATATACAATTTTAAAAAATGTTCTCGACATCTCAGAGGAAATTACATTGAAAACACCTTGGACTTTCTGTGGTTAAATCGACTTATTGTTTACCGTTGTCTGTACTGTTTGTGTTTACTAGTGTGAGCTTGTATGGCAATTTAACTAAACATCTAACCACTTCTACCTACCTACCTGTACTTGTAAAAATCATTAGTTCCCTACATACCTACACTACGTCCTGTCACCTGGCTGGGAGGACCACCTGGCCAGCAGCTACCTAGTAACAAGGGTGGCCACCTGTGGGGTATCTCAGTACAACACAAGGGTGCCCCCCCCCCTCCCCCCACAGTGACTGAACAATATTTACTCATTATATACCGTAGTAGAGTATTATGACTATATGACCATATATACCGTAGTGAGGTAGGTTGGTTGATATAGGTGAGTGGGTTGATCTACTGTAGGTGGGTTGGTTGATATAGGTGAGTGGGTTGATCTACTGTAGGTGGGTTGGTTGATATAAATGTGTAGGTTGATTGATACAGGTGAGTTGGTTGATATAGGTGGAAAGGTGGATTGATTGATATAGGTAAGTTGGTTGATACAGGTGGGCAGATTGATATAGGTAAGTTGGTTGATACAGGTGGGCAGATTGATATAGGTATGTTGGTTGATACAGGTGGGCAGATTGATATAGGTATGTTGGTTGATATACAGGTGGGCAGATTGATATAGGTATGTTGGTTGATACAGGTGGGCAGATTGATATAGGTATGTTGGTTGATATACTATAGATGGGTAGGTTGATATAGGGAGGTAGGGTTGGTTTATATAAAAAGGTGGCGGGGTTGATATAGGTAGGTCTTGGATGATATAGGTAAGTAGGTTGATATAGAGAGGTAAGTATAGGTTGGTTGATATAGGGAGGTAGGCTGATACAGGTAGGTTGGTTGATAAAGTATTAAAACACACACACACACACTGAATTTATGTGTTCGGATTTCTCGTCTCCAGATATTGTATAAATCTACATATACTGTGATGTAGATGAGATGTAGTGTGTGTGTGGCCGAGATATTGTACAGGAGTGGCGGCAGGCTGTAGTGTTTTAGAATAGTTTGTTTTTTGTTTTCGTGATCGGTAATATTTTCATTGGCCAGGTGTTGTTATTGTTGTTGTTGTCATCATTATTGTCACCACTATCATCATTACTGGCATTGTTTACCATCAACATACACCGCTACTGCTACCACCATCACCACAGCGCCACGTCAAAACCACGTCCACCACAACGCCACGTCCACCACCGCCAATAGAGCGCCACGCCACCACCTCCGTCACAACGTGAGCGGTCGGGCAAAAAAACGGCGGGCGCAGATTTAGCGTCGCCCAGCTGGTGTGTGGGCGTGGAGGGTCGGGCAGGCATGCAGCAGCAACAGCAGGGTAGCGGCAGCCTACAGCACCTACACAGCATGCTGCTCACGTACAGCTGTTATTAACGGCAGATGGGACACGGGCCGCCACACCGACGCTGTTGTTGCTGCTGTTGACGGGGTCTTCATGTACACAGGTTGCGGGTCCCCCCACACCTCCACTCTTAACGTTGATATAACTCTTCGAATCACCTGAAGATTAGAACCCCCAGCTTATTTCACCTGATGGCTAAATACCCTAACGCTACTTGGGGACTACTGTAGGTTTGATTAGGTTAGCGTTACGGTGGTTAAACTTAAGCTGGGGACTAATCCTCAGGTAATCGAACTCTTCTCTCTAAGGACAAAAGAAGTTACAGAACTCACCCGGTTGCTTGAGTCTGGCGGGCAATTTGGGTAGCTTACGTGAGCCAGGTCGCTATATATATGTGTACTGTGACGTCTCTCTTTACTGGTGAACCATAACGTGTGGTGAGAGAGGTACTGTACTGGCTTTGTCTTGAGGAAGGAAAGATTTTGGCGGGGAAGTTTGAAGGTGGTCAATGGGTAAGGAAGACTAAGAGCTTGCCACATGTCACACACACACACCACGTGGATCATACACACCATCTGGCTAACACACACACACCACACACACACACACACACACACCACACACACACACACACACACACTCATATCTAATCCAGCCATCTCCTTCCATCATGTCTTACGCCAACTCTAATAATTAATTTACCTGAATAAGAAATGTCCTTTTTATAACCCGCCATTTCACCAAGATAAAAGTCGATTTTATATGTCATTCGCACGCACCACGAGAAGGTAAATGTGTCGAATAAACGGAGGAATCGACGTTGATACCAGAGATGAACGGTGATAACGGGAGCTGACAACATTACAGGGATGAAAGTCTCTCGTTATTATCACCTCAGTTAAGCCTCCCAGCAACCAGCCAGCCAGTTAGACAAGATTAAGACATAAGGCATATAATAGTGTGTCTAGTCTTAGTCATATTGGAATGGCTAGTCTCTTTTACTTAAGCTTAGGAAGGTCGAGTAAGAGGAGGAAGACAAGAACCTACCAATCTGTCTGGAAAATCATCATTGTATTGTATGTTATTCCAAGACAACCAGACAGATGAAGTTCTTACAAGTATCACGAACAAAATATTTCAAGTTACCACCAAGAGAAAAATCATCTTTATATCGTAAATTTAAGGGATATACCAGCCAATTATTTTTTTTATTTACGACGACGAAAATATTTATCTTACGAGTCTCTGAGAAATCCATCTATGTGTCGTTACTCTCTAAGGGATAGCCAGCCAGTTATTTTAGATCCTGTCATCACATCGGTTTTGGGAATGAGAATCCATCACTCACAAATTCCAGGAATCAGGAGGTCCAGCAGCCAGCCAATAACATAACGTGGAGGGAGTATTGATCACATTCCTACCAGGGAGACTTGAAGCTGAATTGTCACCTTTGTCGTTATATTATTTAGAAGTAATTTTACACCTCGACCACTAATATACCTAATTGAGCATAGTAGATTTATTAATGGGTGAAAATTGAAGGGTAGGAGGAAGCGAGAAGGGTAGAGAGAGGGACTGGGATAGAGGAACTGAGATTAAACAGGTGTGGAGGTCCCTAGAGACATAATTCCGAGAGAAATTTAGGTCGTATCAGCCTGTTGTGTGTGTGTGTGTGTGTGTGTGTGTGGAGCTGGTGGGCCGTGGTCGCCAACCCTCAGACCGGAGGCTAGCACGTTGGTAGTTAGGTTTTTATCAATATTTTTTTTTATGATGTGAGATTTATCCTTATTAAGAGATGCCAACAGGTACATGTAATTTATCTATTTTTTTCTGATTAAGATTGCAGAGGCAAGATTCACACACTAATTTGTGGGTTTTTTAAGATTCAGGTTGAATTTTTTTTATGGATTGGATAAATGATTGGTAAAAGTTCTGAAGAATTCGGTTGGGTATATTTTCGTGGACTGGATACATCATTGGCTAAGAGTCATAAAAGATTCAGTTCTGAAGAATTCCTTCCCTGTGTTATCACCTGTGTTGAGAGAGGCGTTCCCAGGTACAGGTGACATACTCAGGTCAGGTGTTCGCCCTTAATGTTGATGAAAACTAATGGTCTCTCTCTCTCTCTCTCTCTCTCTCTCTCTCTCTCTCTCTCTCTCTCTCTCTCTCTCAACAATAGGAGGATGTTTACCTTTCTCTCTTGTCACGGTACGGGAAGCAGGAAGGGGCTGGACGCCACCACCTTTTCCTATGCCAGGAATGTAGACGGGTTTATTTCCTCTTTGTGTTGTTGTTAGCAGGAAGTATGGAGGGGCCTTTGCTTGTTCCTCCTGCTGCAGTAGGAAGGAAGCAGGAAGGGTTTGGCTAGAGGGAGGGAGGGATAGAGAGGGAAAGTACTGTAAATGTGTTCAGTTCCGTCTTAACCCAATGGCCTATCCTTCTTCCTTCCTATCCTCTGTTGACGACCCTGGTCCCACGCTCTCTCTCACCAGCACGACCCTTGCTCTTTGGTACACCACCTCCAGCTTTAAGCAACAGCAGCCTCTTCTATGGTGTGTATGCTATATATATTACCTCCTCTCAATATAACTACCCTCTTAAGGTGAACTATACCTTCTTCTCCTCCCCTTCTTCTTCCCACCCTCCTTTTCCTTCTTCCCATCCTCCTTTATTCCTTGAAGGCGAGTATTACGCATCATCAACATTACATGATAATTCCTGTTTTGGAGTGTTGATAGTATACCACCCTTCTCCCTATAGAGTATAAGGTATATAACTCCCCTTCTCTCCTCACTCTCCCTCATCTTTAGAGTGAGTTAATCTCCCTCTCTCCCTCTGTAAAAGTGTGAGGTATACCCCCCACTCACCACCACTCCATCACCCTCCATCTACCACCACTCCATCACCCTCCCTCTACCACCTCCATCACCCTCCATCTACCACTCCATCACCTCCCTCCACCACCACTCCATCACCCTCCCTCTACCCTCCCATCACCCTCCTCCACCACCCTCCATCACCCTCCATCTACCACCTCCATCACCCCTCCACCACCACTCCATCACCCTCCATCTACCACCACTCCATCACCCTCCCTCTACCACCACTCCATCACCCTCCATCTACCACCACTCCATCACCCTCCATCCACCACCACTCTACCACCGTCCATCTACCACCACTCTACCACCGTCCATCCACCACCACTCTACCACCGTCCCCCTCCTTAGGGATTCACAATAACGGGGTCAGGGGCGGGGCAATTCCTGTACCCGGGGCGGACAATTGCCTGAGCTTTTGCCCCCTTGTGCCCTATGCTGCCCCGGAACTCCCTGAAGAACCCCGATATTGCTCACCTCCTTCCCCCTCCCCCCTCCAACCCATCTTGGAATATTCCCATCTGGATTCCATTCTTATCTGTAAGTGGGGAATTGGAATGGGAATTGAGTGTGTGTGTGTGTGTGAGAGAGAGAGTTATTCCAGTGAGCGACTTTGTTATGAGAGAGCTGGAATGGGAATAGGA